TGGTAGTAGTAGTAGTAGTAGTAGTAGTAGTAGTAGTAGTAGTAGTAGTAGTAGTAGTAGTAGTAGTTCAGCGTGGTTCACTATTCGTATCTGTTCAATCCAGACGACCGACGACGACGAAGACGGCGACGACGGCGGCGGCGGCGGCTACGACGACGACAATTGTCGTCGTCGTAGCCGCCGCCGCCGCTGTCGTCGTCGTCGTCGTCGTCTGGGCCGAATGGGCACGAATAGTGCACCACGCTGGCCATGCGGCCCACGTACGGCCTGTCCGCGCGAGGTGCTTGCTGACAGATCGCTGGGCTGGCGGTCGTCGTCGTCGTTTCCGCCTAAGACGGCCCCGAGAGGCCCCCCAGAACCCCCCAAAGAGCCCCAAGAGGGCCCCAAGACCTTCCAAAAGAGCCCCAAGAGGACCCCAATAATACCCCAACTGAGCCCCAAGAAGCCCCGAGCAGGCCCATAAGAGGACCTCAGGAAAGCCACAAGAAAGAGCCCCAGGAGGCCCCAAGAGGGGCCCAAGAGAATCCCAAGATGGCCCCAAGATGCCTACAAGTTTCGGAACGCACGCGAGTTTAAGCTACAAAGCAGTACAACAGCCATTACGAGTCATCGAAATACCCCTCACCTCTCATCGAAGCACCAGTGCAACTTGCACTGGTTTCCATATTAACCTTCAATGCGAGAAACTATGTGTGATGCTGGTGTTCTCGAAGACGGCTGCGCGACTGCATGCGTAATGCCGCCCCTGATTTACAAACTCCCCTGCTGATCGTTTCTGGATGGGCTGGTGGGGGCACGCGGAGCGTCAAGAATTTATGAGGGAACAAATCCGCCGACCCACCTCAGTTGCGACATCGGGGACAGGTTCACCAACTAACAGAGAACTCTGGGCAGGCGCCCATTCAGAGAAACAACTGACGACCGTTCAGGCGGCAAAGCACGCCTGCAAACATCCAGAGTGTCAACACGAGCTGGCAGGAAACCCAAACGCAAGCCCCATCACGGGACTTTGTCGGGAACAGAAGGGATTTGTTGCTAATCGCAAAGGGATGGCTTACCGCTCAAAGTGCCCCTTTGGAAAACAGCCTTCCCGACAACCCATTTTCAAACTCAAGACGTCGTTCGGATATTGATCGGGGCTAGATAGCGGCAGCATGTGGCTGCTGGGAGGGGGGGGGGCAATCACCCAAGAGACCCCTGGGCGTGCAAGTATTCGAAGCATCATGTGATAACCACTGGGGTTCGGATCCACGCTGGGCCTAGACGTCGCAAACGTTAAGATTATGTCCAGGGGCAAAAGCTTGCACATCTGTCCACGCATCGCCCTCCAATGCCACCCGAGAGGCCGCCTAAAGCATTGGAGACCCCGTCATCGGCCCAAAGCCGCGTGCAAACATGGCGCCCGACGTCGAAAGCATATCAGACCGCGCTCAGACGACCCCAACAGATCCCGAAGATGACCCTGAAAGGCCGCGCGCGCCCCAATGAAGCCGTCCGGCCACCAAGGCCATCCGACGAACATCCCAAGAATATTAACATGGAAGAGAAGCTGCGCCACTCTGCCAATTTGCGCCTCCCCTCTCCCGCGGCTCCTCCCCCCACTGAGCCTCCTCACCATCCCTCCCTCCCACTCCGCGCCCAGTAACCCTCACCTCATCCCCACTGAGCCTCCCCCCACACACAGATGCGCGCCGCCTCTATCCCCCGCTCCGTGGATCCCCCTCCCCCCCCAAACTCTAGGAGATCTTGAACATCCCACGCCTGGCCCGAGACGATCTGCGCCTACAGCCGAACAAAGGGGACTGGAACTGGTGGCTCACCAAAGGAACCCCAAAGAAATACGAAGGGCTCCCCAGATGACCCCAACAAGCGCCCAGAGACCCCAACCACACCCGAGAGAGGCCACGGACAGACCCACAACCCAGGCACGGCGGTGCGATGACCAACTCCCCGCTGGACGCACGCTGCGCCCTGCATCGGTATGCGCGGGGGATGGGCCCCTTCCAAGCTACGGTGTGCCGACTTTCGCAAACACAGTTCCCTGCGCGAGTGCTGTTTGCCACAGTTGTTTTGGATTGATTGCCTCATTTCTCCCTGTCCCTCTTCCTCCCTCCCTCCTCCTTCCTCCCTCCTCCCCCTGCCTCTTCCCTCCTCCGTTCCTCCCTCATTCGTTCCTCCTCCTGATCCTCCCTCCTCCACCCTCTCCCCCCTGTCCTCCATCCTCCGCCCTCCAATCCTCCTCCTTTCCTGCCTCCCCCCCCGCCCTTCCATCCTCCTTCCTTCCTCCCTCCTCCCTCCTTCCTTCCGCCCTCCTCCCTCCTAACATCCCGCGGGGAACTATGAATGCGAGAGTCGGCTTTTTTTCAAGACGAACGCCTTGCGATCGCAGAGGCCCTTGAAGTGCTCGTTGTTGTTGGTCAGGATGTGGTGCTGCACGGAACCGACGGGGAAGGTGAACTTGGGCGCGAGCGGGACTGGCGTCTTGTCCTTGTCCAGGCGCGCCTGGCCCAGCGACCAGAAGCTCCTCTTGGCCCAGGTGGCGTCCACCGTGACGTGGTCGGGGAGGTCGCCCTCCAAGCGGAGCTCGGGGTACGTGGCCGTGCGGATCTTGCCGTCTGGGCCAGCAGCGCCGACAGAGTAGTGCCCCCAGCCCGCCCAGTCGAGCTCCCCCGTGTGTACGTTCACAAAATCAAGCAACTTCAACAGCGGACTCCCGAGCAGCACGTGGCGCTCCGTGAGCGCAAGGGTATATATGTGCTGGTCTTTGGCGCTGTCGGGGATCTTGGTGCTGTCGAGGGTGCCCGTGCTGCGCTCGATGATCCTCCTGCTGACGAGCCTGTCTTTGCGGTCCATTTTGTTCATCACCTCCTTCGTGAGGCGGTCGCCCACCATGTTGCGAATGAAACCCCAGTAATACCATTTGTCGATGTCAGCAGCCTTCTCGATGTTGGGCCAATCGGTGGTGTCCACTCCGCCCGACGCCAACGCTGCGGCCGAGGGGGGGACGACAACCGGCGCCACCTGAGCCTGCACCCACGCCTCTGCAAGGAGGATCTTGTCTGGGTGCTTATACAACAGTTTCAGCATATTCTCAAGGGACGACGTGTACTTAGCAGAAAGCGGACTGTCTGAAACGGACTCCACGAACTCAGCGTACTGCGATGCGAGGGGGCTCTCTGCAGCTTTGGCGGCCTTGCGTTTGCACGGGGTGACAGTGGGCATATCTGTCGGATGCCTGCGTGCGGTCAATGGGACACGTGCAAGAAAGCCCTCAACCGTTCGAACCACAATGCATCGACGCGCAGGAAAGCGTAGGAAAGGGAGGCGAGAGAGAGGGCAGCATGGTGACGAGGAGGGGCAGCAATGATACGTGGGAGAAATGGAGGGCAACCTGGGGAAATCGGATACAGGAGAAGAAGGGCCGAGGGAGGGTGGAGGAGGATTGATGAGGAATGATTGATGGCTGATGAACGAACTGCACGCGCAAGCTGCTGGAACAACGCTGTCAACGATGCCCGCGGACACAGTCGCGCACCCACGCGCGCGCGCGCCCGCCAAGGGCGCAAAGCAAAACGCAAAAAAAAACAAGGCGGACCGCGCGGGCGGTTCACCGTGGACATCCGCGACAGACAGCTGCCGCCAACGAGCTGCGATCCACCTCGCAGACTGGCGCGCGCGAGTCCCCGCGACGCGCGATATTGCGCTTGCGGGGGCGGCGGCGCCCGCGCAGAATCGCCCACGCAGAACGACAGCAACAGCCATGGGCTAGAGCAAACCCCGAAGAAACAACGCAAGGGTCGCAATCTGGCAAAGGGCCGCGCTTTTAGCCATGCGCCATGCCTCTGCCTGACGATGCCCGAACTCGACGCGCACTGATGGCGCGCGCAGGGCAAGCCCAACCTAGCGTCTCCGCACCCGCGCAGTGCATCGCAGGCGCACGCCCAGCCAACACATCACTCACCGACATGGGGCCCCCAAAGGGCCTTCATACACATGCGCTGCTGCGCCAGGCAGAATCACCCATGGCCACACAAGAAACAACGCCAACGCCTGAGGCGATCCGACACGCCCAGAGCCGCGCGGCGACTAAACACAAAAAAAACGAAAAACCTCATACGTCAAAGGGGTTCGGTTGGAACCGAAGGTCCCCGTCTATGATACCGAGATCACGCGAGGCTGCGCAAGCTGAGCACAACCGATATCGGGCCGTCGTTGGCCGCGAGCATTACCGACACGCGCGGGCGTCAGGGTCTCCAAAATCCAACATGGCGTGCCATAGGTAAGGTGGTGCGGTGTTGTATTTGGTCGAATAGTGTCTCAGCCAGACATGTTGTAGGAACCTTTCGCGCAGACCACAAAAGGTTCTTAGAACATTATTACTTGGTGGGCCTATAGGCAAACCAGGACCCTTCGCCGCTGCTCGATTCCCAAAGATCCAACGTCGTGGTTTTCTCAATGCGCGGTCCCCAGAAGTCTCGACCAAATTCCCCAGGACCGGCTTTCCATCCTGAGCCTTTTTTTCACGGCCCCGCGAATCTTTTGAAAAACCTCCGTCTGGATTTTTCCCATACGGTGGATCCCTGGATTGCGCTCCAGTCGGGCGTGTCACCCTACAGGGGACTTCTTGGCGACGTTTTTCCTTAAGGCCCCCCAAATAAGAAACACAATAGCAAAAAATCGTCCCCATCTGATTTCTATTTGACTTTTCTTGCATACTCCCCCTGTAGAGGAACAGGCCCGACTCAAGATTATGCGCAACCGAGCCCGGCACTCCTCTCGGGAGACTCTCCATGGGATCCCCAGGGGATCCTATGGGATCCCCCCCCCTGGGATCCTATCCCCCCATGGGATTAAAACAAGGCTAGGATCGGGATAAATCGCTCCAGAGCGTTCCGGAGCAGAGATTTCGAGTTATCCCGATCCGATTTTGTCCCGATCTTCGCGTCGTCTTAGGGATCCCCCCCCCCTGAAGAGTCTCCCGATCCTCGCCACCCGCTCGCCTGGCGACGCCGGCCACGCGCCGGCGCGGCGCCCGGGCGCCGTGTTCCCCCGGCGCGAGCCGTGAGCGCCACCGCCCCGGCTGGGAGGGGCTGCCATCCCTGGCGGAGGTGCAAGAGCGAGGATCTAAGGGTGGTAAGCCCCAAGGCATCTAGCTCCTGCGCAAGCAAATCGGAAGCCACCAGGACCAGCTTGTCAGGCCCCTATATGCCGCCACGCTGGTTCCGGGCAGGCTGTGCTGTCCGGCGGAAGGGGACGAGGAGGGGAGAAGCAGGCAGACGACGACGAACGCCCAGGCGGGAGGCCAGGGCCGGCGGGGCGGGCGGGCAGGCAGAAGACGGGCCTGGCGGAGGACAAATCGGGGATGGACAGAACCCCCTTTAAACGTGGTTTACCCAGACATGATCGCGTCGTTAAAAAAAAAATCAGGACAACGGTTGTTCGCTATTTTCGGCCCCTGGGGGCCCTCGCTGGGCTCCGGGCCCGTCAATAAACGATTCAGGATGACAAACCGGCCCCGGGGAAAGGGTCGGGACTTCTGGGGACGCCGTCCTGGACAGAAATAAGACGTCGCGGAGGGCAAGTCTGAAGGGGCCCACACAAAGAAAACATACAAATCCCAGGTTCCCAATGTTTTCCGAGACTTCTCGGGTTTTTTCTCCGCCCCCCGCCCCCCCATATTTTCCAATAGTTTCCCATATTCCCTGGGGAATCTCCACGATGACTTGTGTGTTTGTGTGTGTGTGTGTTTGTGTGTGTGTGTTTGTGTGTTTGTGTGTGTTTGTGTGTGTGTGTGTTTGTGTGTTTGTGTGTGTTTGTGTGTGTGCTTGTGTGTGTGTGTGTCTGTGTAAGTGTGTTTGTGTGTGTATTTGTGTGTGTGCTTGTGTGTGTGTTTGTGTGTTTGCGTGTGCGTATGTGTGTGTATGTGTTTGTGTGTTTGTGTGTGTGTTTGTGTGTTTGTGTGTTTGTGTGTGTGTGTTTGTGTGTGTGTGTTTGTGTGTGCTTGTGTGTGATGGTGTGTGTTGGTGTGTTTGTTTGTTTGTGTGTGTTTGTGTGTGTGTGTGTGTTTGTGAGTTTGTGTGTATGTGTGTGTGTGTTTGTGTGTTTGTGTGTGTGTTTGTGTGTGTGTTTGTGTGCGTGTGTGTGTCTGTGTGTTTGTGTGTGTGTTTGTGTGTGTGTTTGTGTGTTTGTGTGTGTTTGTGTGTGCGTGTGTTTGTGTGTGTCTGTGTGTGTTTGTGTCTATGTTTGTGTATGTGTTTGTGTGTGTGTGTGTTTGTGTGTGTGTGTGTGTGCTTGTGTCTGTTTGTGTGTGTGTTTGTGTGTGTCTGTGTCTGTTTGTGTGTGCTTGTGTGTGTGTGTTTGTGTGCGTGTTTGTGTGTGGTTGTGTGTGTGAGCTTATTTGTGTGTTTGTGTGTGTGTGTTTGTGTGTGTACTTGTGTGTGTTCCGTCCTGGAAGTCGGGGACAAGACGTGGTTTAGTGACAACGACCTCGGGCCCAAACCCGGCGGGCGCGGGCCCTGGAAACGGACGACCGCGGCGCCCCTGCGAGAACCGAGGACGGACAATTCACGAATCGAGGTGTCCGGGTGGGGGTTCTGACCACCCCCGAGCAAGATCCATGGATTTGGCGCACGGTCCTGCGCTGGCCTCCGCCGACGGAGCCGCTTCCGCTCTGCTTCCGCCGGCCTCCTGCCGAGGGAGAGATGCTGACTCCCTCGTCCCTCGAGGGCGAAGGCCTCTCGTACCTTTTGTCTCGCAGCGTGGATCCCCAGGGGGAGGGGTCTCCTCCTTCTCCGCCTCCCTCCTCCTCCCTCCTCCCTCCTCCCTCCTTCCTCCCCGGGTGGGGGCGCGCAAACATGGATTAGCAATCCATTGTCCATGGATCGGGGGAAGCGCCCTCCCCAAAATGTGGCCGGTGCCGCCTCGCTCGGCGGCGGGAACCCGCGATTTCCAATGGAAACGGGACCCGTCGCTAATCCATGCCCCCTTAATCCATGTTTGCGATCGCCTGAAGATCGCTCAGCACCAGCAGGGCGATTGCTGGCCTCTGGAAGCCCCCGCCGGGCCCCAGGACAGCACCAGGAAACTGGAGCGCACATGTTTTTTTTTTCTCTCAGGGGACACGAAACACTCAACTCTGTACCGCGGGACCCGCGCAACCACCAGACGATCCATCGGTACTGCCAAGTCTGCTACCGAACCGCTGCCTGCAATTCACATGGCGGAATTCCCATGGTGGATCATCTGTAGGCCACATGCCGGCTACACTGTGGAGGGCCAGCGCGCCTGGCGCTGGCAAGACATCTGGCCACATGTGGATCAAGCTCTCGCCCAGGCCGACCACGTCGTGTGTACAGTGGAAACCAATCCACAGGAAACCTTCCACTAGAAACCCTACCCGGAGACCCCAGGACGCCCATGGGTTTATGGTGTGGCAAAGTCGCGCGCTTTCCATTCGCCAAGCCCTCGGATACCAAGAAGACCAGGGCACCCTGGAGGCCAGCAGGGTGTTTCTTGGCACGGGTCTCCACTGTACGACTCGGGATGAGAAGCTAGCCGATCCCGACCATTGCGGGCCGATCCCAACCACTTGAAGCGGATTCCAACCACCGAACAGGGGCCGATCCCAACGTGAAGGAATCCTACATCAATTCTACAAGACGAACACCAGACTACAACCAGATTGCAACCTCTGCATAGCCTCTGAAGAGCCTCTGAAGCGCTTCACCAGCGCCTCTGAAGCGCTTCACCAGCGCCTCTGACGCGCTTCACAAGCACCTCTGAAGCGCTTCACAAGCGCCTCTGAAGCGCCTCACACGCGCCTCTGAAGAGCTTCACATGAGCTTCTGAAGGGCTTCTGCAGCGCTTCTCTTAAGCTTCTGGAGAGTCTCTGGAGGGCTTCTCGAGAGCTTCTGAGGCGCTACTCCCTTGCTTCTGGAGAGCTTCTGAGGCGCTTCTCATTTGCTTCTGGAGAGATTACGAGGCGCTTCTCATTTGCTTATGGACCGCTTCTCGTGAGATACAGCAGAGTTTCTGCAGCGCCTCTGAGGCGCTTCTGAAGCGCCTCTGAAACGCTTGTGAAACGCTAGTGGTGCTGGTAGCGGTCGTGGTCGTGGTGGAGTACTGAGAGTGGTTGTGCTAGTGGTTTTGGTTTTGTTCGTGGCGTTCGTAATGCCAATCTTATCACCAGTATTATTCGTAGGAGTCGTCGTCGTCATAGTTTCAGTCGAATTAGTTGAGAGTGGCAGTGATAGTAGTAGCTGCAGTCGCATCAGCCCTCGTACTCTGAGAATTAGTTAGGATAGCAACAGTAGTAGTAGAGGAGTAGCAGAAGTGGCAGCAAATCTAATACCAGTAAGAGCAATACTAACAGTAGTAGCAGCACAAGCAATCGTATCAACAGTAACCTTACGACTACTACTACTACTACTACGACTACTGAAACTACTTCTTCTTCTTCTTCTACGTATTACTACTGCGAAGCTACTGCTGCTGCTACTACTACTACAACTACTACAACAACTACTACTACTACTACGACGACTACTACTACTACTACTGCTACTGCTACTACTACTACTACTACTACAACTACTACTACTACTACTACTACAACTACTACTACTACTACTACTACTACTACTTCTACTACTACTACTACTCCTACTACTACTACTACTACTACTACTACTACTATTACTACTACTACTACTACTACTGCTGCTGCTACTACTACTACTACTACTATTACTACTACTACTACTACTACTACTACTACTACTACTACTACTACTGCTACTACTGCTACTACTGCTACGACTGCTACTACTACTACTACTGCTACTGCTACTACTACTACTACTACTACTACTACTACTACTACTAATACTACTACCGCTGCTGCTACTACTACTACTACTACTACTACTACTTCTACTACTACTACTACTACTACTACTACTACTACTACTACTAAAACGACTACTACTACTACTAAAACGACTACTACTACTACTACTACTACAACTACTACTACTTCTACTTCTACTTCTCGTGGTCTGCGATCGCCCCAATCGCAACCGCTACTTCAACAATTCGTCGGTGAGCCTCAGGCAACCCACTCATTCCAAAAGCTCTCCTGGAGAGCCTTCGCTTATCAGAACAATGTCCCAGCGAGCCCAAAACATTTCAACCACGTCGGGCCGATCGCAACAGGTTGCAGTCCGCCCCATGTGGTTGCGGTCGGCCCCGAGCGGTTGCGATCGGCCCCGGTCGCGATCCAGACCTCCCAGGGGCCCATGCTGTGCAGAGGCCAAGACGTCGAGTGCCTGGGTGCAGGCCAACGCGTCAGGCAGGCCTCGGGCAGGCGTCGGGGCAGCGGCTCGACACCGGACCACATCGAGATGGGCCCTGGAGAGGGGCCAACCAACGGCGCCGACGACGACGACGATGCTGACATCCCTGACCACAGCGACGGCGACGTTGCAGCCGCGGTAAGGCCGCGGGCAGGAGTAGTGCTCGCCCGCGTCTCGCACGGCCCTCTGGCAGGCATCTGTCGGCCAACTGCGGCAATGTTGCGTCGTGCTGGCGAATCTCTCACCGCATCCATCTTTCAGGAACGTCGTCGTCGTCGTGGTCGTGGTCGTGGTCGTGGCCGTGGCCGTCGCCGTCGTGGTCGTCCGTCGTCAATCGTCCATGATCCGTGGTCCGTGGTCTGTCATCCGTCGTCCGTCTCCGTTGTCGTCGTCGTCTGTCGTCCGTCGTCCGTCTTCCGTCGTCGTCCGTCGTCGTCCGCCCTCGTGGTCGTCGCTGCCATCGTCGTCGACGTCGCGCGCTGTGTCCGCCTGCTCCTCCCTTGACTCGAGGGTGCAACGTCGCAACGCCGCGGCGTCGCAACGCAGCAACGCCTCAACGTCGCAACGTCGTCGTCGCTGGCGTGAGTCGTGAGTCGTGAGTCGTGAGTCGTCATCGTCGTTGCCTTCGTCGTCGTCGCCTTCGTCGTCGTCGTCAGCGCCCGTCGTCGCCATCACCGTCATCATCGGTCGTCGGTGGTCGTCGATGGCCGTCGTCGTCGTCATCGTAGTCGTCGTCGTTGCTGTCGCCCTCGTCGGCGTCCGTCGACCGCGCGCGCGCTGGAACTGGTTTGTCCTCCTCGGATTCGAGGGCGTCACGTCGCAACGTCGCAACGTCGCAACGTCGCGCCGCAATGCTGCAACCTCGCAAGTCGGCGTGAGTCGTGAGTCGTGAGTCGACGTCGTCGTCGTCGTCGTCGCCTTCGTCGTCGCCGTCAACGTCCGCCGTCGCCCTCACGGTCGCCATCAGTCGTCGTCGGTCGTCGACGGCTGTCGTCGCCGTTGTCGTCGCCGTCGTCGGCGTCGTCGGTCTGGCCCTGTCACGCTTCGAGTGCCGCTGTATTGGTATCTGATTGCTGTTGCCCGGGGGGTCTTGGGCCCCCTCTCCCTGCCTGGAGAGCCCACAAAAGAAGTACACGCCCAACCCCGTACATGAACACGGCCCCCCAACCACGTACATGAGCACGTACACGAATGTTCGCGCAACGCGTACTCTCGAAACCAACTTGGATTCATCTACGTGCGCGTCCCTCTTTCGCTCCTGACACTCACGGTGGAGAACTATTTTCGAGTTGTTGCTCCGTGCAGCTTGTGGTGAGCGTGTTTGGTTCTAGATGCGCGGCGGCGGGTCCCTCGAGGAGCGCAGCGCAACAGTTGCGGACTCTGATCTGCGCGAGGACGCGCGGCGCAACAACGAACTGTATCGGTGGTGGTGATTCGTTCTTCTCTGGTGAAAGAATCGAGTGGGCCGCGGGGGCGAGCGGAAACCGATCAAAAAACAACCGAAAACTGAACTGGTATCAACACGTGGCGGTTTCTGGAAGCCCTGAACCCAAATCGTTTCCATCTCTTGGGGGCGCCTCTTTTGCTTCCGCGAGCTTCCGCTGGCAGAAGCGGCCTCGTTTTACTCGGGCCGCCTTCCGCCACTTTCTGCCGATAAAGAGATGACAACTCCCCGGATCCTCGAAGGCGAGGACCTTTCTGGATCGCCTCACGTGGGTGAGGATGTCTCCGGGGGAACCATTGTGGTTCTGCTCGGTGCGTGCAGGACCGCCTGGGGGATTGCGAGGACACCGCGGATCCCTAGGGACAGTTTAGCCAGCGTGGACCCCAAGCAATGGCTTTCCGGATATATGTATGTCTATGTATATCTATGTCGCTCGTAGCTCGCTCGGGTTCAATGTAGCTATCGGGAGCTGGCGGCAGCCTTGTCTATATATATATATATATGTATATGTATATGTGTGTATGTCTGCGGCAGTCGGAATCTTGCAATCAATGTGGTGCAATGCGACGGAGTGCTACGCAATGCTGAACAATGCCGAGCACTGCACAGCAACGCACGCAACGCAACATACAAATCCCAAACAAATGCGTGGCGACGGCGGCGGCGACGGGTGATCACATGCGGCCCAGGAAGCCACTCCGGCTCGCACCAGCGTGAGAACCCCAACGTGCACCTACTCTGTGGGGAACTGCACGGCACCGCTCCGCAGAGTGTTACTTCTAGGATGTCCCGAGCGAAAACTAAGGTCGGGCATGTCCCCCTACAGGCGGATACTGGACGAAGAATTAAACATACTCAAACAAAACCTCAACACATCGTCCCCATACTATTTATTGTGCTGTTGCTGAACACTCATCATGTAGAGGGACGTGCCCGACTTAAGCGAAAACTGTTGTGTGGCCATACCCCGGGCTCAATCTAGTATACTACATGTCGCCGCGCATGTTGTGCTGACCGCGCCCAAGCAGACGGAACCGACACCGCGGCAAACCCACAACAAACTCTGCGTTCAGGGCTGAATTCGCCCTGGTGGCCGAGGCGCTCTTCCCAAGACACAAGACCGCGAGTCGGAACAAACGGCGCGGCGACACATCGAGGGTGGGGAGCCCAACGATCAGCTCAGTAGTGTTATAGATAGATATTGTATATATGTATCACTAATTTGTATACATATATACACATATGTATGTGTGTATATATATAAAAAAAGGGGGGCGGCTCGCCTGCAACACCCAGCCGTCGTCGTCGACCGCCGTCTGCCGCTGGCTGCCGCCATCTCCGCCACTACCGCCGCGGCCGCCCAGCAACCCTGCCATCCATCATCGCAAGCATCGCCAGCGCCGCGCACACTGCTGTCGCCATCGACGCCCTCGCCTCCCATCTCCTCTTCGCCATGCTCGTCACCGCCGCGGCCTCCGTCGTCAACAAGTTTGCCCGAGTCAGAAGATTGCCTAGAGCTCTGTTTGCATTATGATTCGCGATGACGCCCTGACTGGCCCCGCCCCCCCCTCCACCCACCCTGGCCACGATACGATTCGCGCTGGCGCCGTGTGGAAACTAGCCATACCATTTCCTAACGGCGCTGGCGCGAACCGTGACGTGAAGGGGCCCCTCCCCCCCTGTCACGCCAGTTATCGCCAGGGGAACAAAACACACAATCTTCTGCCCCAAACCCCCGACGCCGTGAACTTATAATGTGGACCCCCCCTGGCATGGTCTCATTCCCTGGGAGTTTGTCATCCCGCGTCGTTCTTCGACGCTCCCGAGGCCTGGTAGGGGCCCCCGGAAGCCGACCCTCTGGGGCCAGACCATGCGCAGAAGGATCCCCACCTCTGGCCAGTGAGAATATATGGCCAGACTGCGGCGACGGCGATAGCGAGGACAGCGGCGATGACGACTTTCACGACGACGTCGACGATGGCGAACGCGACGGTGGCGATGGCGGTGGCGTCGGCGCCAGCGCTGGCGCAGGTAAAGGGAACAAGAAATGTCGGGATTGAACAAATCACTCCGCCAGACCCAGAGATTTTTCAATGCCAGGTCCCTGGAGGTCCTGCCCCTATCCCCAGAACAGATTTTTCCCCTCCTCCTCCTCCTCCTCCTCCTCCTCCTCCTCCTCCTCCTCCTCCTCCTCCTCCTCCTCCTCCTCCCCCTTCTCCTCCTCCTCCTCCCCCTCCCTCCTCCTCCTCCTCCTCCTCCTCCTCCTTCTCCTCCTCCTCCTCCCCCTCCTTCCTCCTCCTCCTCCTCCTCCTCCTCCTCCTCGTCCGCCTCGTCCTGAGTAGCTTCCTGACGGCCCCGAGGCTCAGCGAGGGACCCCAGAAACCGAACACTGTGACAAAACCTCCGACTTGACTTTTCCAGTGCGCTGGACGTCTGCTCGGATCGCCGCGGGGGTAGAGGGTAAGGGGGCTACATGTGGATGCTAAGGTGGGCTGGTGATCTCTGACGTAACCTACCTTATCATTGGGTTGCGAATGCCATGAAAGGCTTGCGTACAGATCCGGGCAAAGTGGGCGGAGCCCGCTTAGCGGCATTATCTAACAACGTTAAGTCACCTAGGGATTGCAACCCGCTCATAGGCTAGGCCAGGGCAAGTATAACCCACCTCAGAATCCACTTCTGACCCCCCGGTAACCCCTCAGCACCCCCGCAGCGACCCACATGGAGATGTCAGGGATGTTCTCGTGCTGTCCCTGGCGTGCCGAGGTCGGGTCTGGCCGCTGCTGCATTCGCAGGCATGCGAGCCCCCCGGCCCCGGCGGTGCCGCGCCCGAGCTCTACCAGCGGCGGGCGGGGCGCCGGCGCCGCCCTTTTGAGCAGTAACGCCCAGCGGCGGCGAGGGCGGAGGGGGATCCTGGAGAGGGCAAGCTAGGTGCGCTCGCGTCATATCTGACGTCCTACCCCTCCCTCCCATCCCTTACCATGGCGCTGATTTTCTCTATCCGCGGACGCGTGTCGTAGCGGACCTGTGGCTCCGCGCGCGCGTGCGTAGTGGGTGGTGGTGCACGTGCGTGCGTGGATCCTGGGGAGCCACATGCCAGGCCTGAACGACCTTACGCGGGCCCCGGAAACGACAAGGCCGTTCTCAGCACCGTTTGCGAAGAAGCGTCTCTTCAGAAAGAACAGGATTAAAACATACAGCAGCCGACGGCTCCGGAGTTGGAGCCGGAACCGGAACCAAGAAACAACGGCGACGGAACAGGAGAACATACGGCGCACGAGCTGGCAACAAACGACGCAGAACGGAACCGGTAACGAAAACGGCCATGTTGTTTCGAGAGCCCGCTGTGGGACCTCCATCGATGCGATAGGGAGCCCACAGAAGGACGTACGCACCCAACCACGTACATGAACACGGCCTCTAATCCACGAGACTGGCCGCGTGGTACGAACTTGCGCAAGAAATGCACACCTCGAAACCAACGTGGATTCATGCACTTTCCTGACTTGCACAAGACGGGGCGTCTTTGCCATGGCCCATTCAGGGCCGGACCGCCTCTCCTTGGGAACAACCCCGGCGATGAACAAAATGCAGCGTCATGATCTCAGGGATCGGGGGGTCGTGTTAGGTCGGGCATGTCCCCCTACAGGCCGATTTTGGACGAAACATAGGAAAAAGTCAAAAAATGTTCAAAAAGAGTCAACACATACAAAAAAACGTCCTCAGACTATTTTCTGAACTCGGCTGCTGCACGCCAGATATCGCGCCCTGCGCTGCCTCGGGGGCGGCGAGCCTCGACCGAGGGGGGCGCGCTCGAACCTTCGACGCCCAGCTTCTTCTGTGACCTGGGTCGCCTGAATTTTGGCGGCGCGCAGAGGGGGGGTATTTAACGGGCGAAGAACGGTATAACATATTTTTTTTCGCTGTCGGAGGCGCCTGTCCCAGGGCGGCTGGAAAGTTTATACCCTTACGGTGGCACCGTAGGGGTATAAACTTTCCAGCCGCCCAGGGACAGGCGCCCCCGACAGCGAAAAAGTTTATCTTAGACCGTTCTTCGCTCGCTGAGGTATGGGGGAGAGGGGGAGGCTTCTCAGACGGGGGCTGGCTCCCAGAAGGCGCCGGCCCTGCACGCACACGGAGAAGGCCCGCGCCCTCTCCAGAAGCAGGGGTGCTTCCGGGAAGCCCTCCCCCCTCTCCCCCTACAGTCGGGGCGTTGACCTAAGGAACCCTAAATAAGGAACGAGGCCCCTTTTTTCCAGAAGTTGAGCTTCGATTTCCCATCGAAGACCTGAGGAAAGCCTGAGGCAAGCGGTGAAACACTTACGGAACGCGGAGCCCCTCCCCAGCGAAGAGGGCTCCTCCTTCAGGGCCCCGACGGTACTCCAGATTTCGTAATAAAAGGGAGGGGGTCTAATTTCGGGGGGGGTCTCTTCCAGGCCATCTTGGAGGGCCTGGGGGGTCTGGGGACGATGTTTTGGAGGGTTCTCCCACAGGGGGGGGTCTGAAATGGCTTGTCTTGGAGGATCTAGACCCCCTCCCTTTTATTACGAAAGCTGGAGTACCCCCCTCGGCGCATGGCCGACCTCCCCTAACGGTGAGGGTCTGGCCCAGGGCACCCGACTTCGCGCCTCGCGCCCCGCGAGGCGCGGCCCTCGCCGCGCCCTCGCGCCGCTCCCCAGTGGGGAAGGGCAGCCGCTCTGGCCCCTGCCGCGACGTGCGAGGCGCGAAGCTACCCTCTGGCCCTTCGCGGCGGGCGCCGCAGGAGCAGGAGGAGGAGGAGGAGGGGGAGGAGGAGGAGCAGGAGGAGGAGGAGGAGGAGGAGGAGGAGGAGGAGGAGGAGGAGGAGGGGGAGGAGGAGGAGGAGGAGGAGGGGCTCTCTGCCGCCGCGGCACCGTCGACCCAAAGCTTTGTGCTGCTCCTCAGATGCTCCTTCTGGGGACCTTCCTGGAGCCACTCGCTCCACTCGTGCGTCGAAGCCACGTCGAACCTGAGTCGAACCTGAGTCGAACATGAGTCGAAGTGGACTCGAATCTGAGTCGAACCTGAGTCGATTTTGAGTCGAACCTGAGTCGAACAGATCCATCAGGTGGCCCCCAGGAAGGTCCCCAAAACGAGCATCGAATGCTCCCATCGTACTTCAGGGCCACATCCCAGAAATGATTTCGAGCACCCGCAGCCAGAGTGTCGAACGAGTGTCGAAGCAGCGTCGGACGAGTGCCAAAAGGGGCCCGATGCGTGAAAACCCTCGAGTTTCGGTGCTTGTTTCTGGTGCTCGAAGTTCTGTCTGGTGATCAAGGCTTAAGTAGGTTGGAACATCATAACCCAAAACGAACCTCAATGTGCACTGAAGGGGCACGTCAATAGGGAACCGGCTCATGGGGAAAGTCTCGAGTCGGAAGCGGCGATACAAATCGCCTGTGGATCGGCGGTAGGCCCCCGACAGCCGATAGTGCAACCACACGCTCGTGGACGTGGTTGGCCATGGGGCCCCTGTCGGCGATGACAAGAGGCCGACGACAGGAAACGGGTCTCACGAGACATGACCTGATGACCTTCCGCCATGGCTTACCGGGACGCCAGCGCGGCACGCTACATTGGAGACCAGGGCGCTTGCGCGGGCAGCTTACGCGCCAATGTCGGCGCAATCGACCCAGTTTTTTTGCGTCGGCCAAGTGGGCGATGGGGGGGCGATGCGCCCCCTCCCTGACCTTCGGTCAGGCATGTCCTCCTACAGGCGGGTTTGGGACGAAAAATAATAGATACCCCAAGCAAATTCAAAAGTAGTCAAACACATTGCAAAATATCGTCCCCTGGGTATTCTTCACCATTCTTGAATACTCCCGGACGGAAAATTGAAAAATCAGTTTGAAAATATACCCCAGCATTGTCAAGAATAGGCCGAACATCGCCCCAATACATATATATATATATAGATAGATAGATAGAGAGAGAGGGAGGGAGAGATATTATTACGATTTTTGAAAAGTCCTCAAGGACAGGCCCGACTTAAAACTAGACTGTGTTTACCGTTTTCCTGTTGGTTTCGTGTTCTCTCTTTCCGTCGTCGTTCCGCCTTTGCTGCCCAACATGATCAACACGAAAATGGTCCACGACATCGACAGAGCGTAGTACATCTCGAGCCCTCAGAAACCATTGGGTAAGGAATCCATGGTCTGGAAGCGGGTGGAACTCCAATCGGGGATTGGCCATGGATAGCACTGCCTACCTCGATAGATCAGGTATCCTCCCGGAGCTGCAGCCTCTTTGGCACATGTCCGAGAACAGACGCACACGTCCAAGCGATGCCAAGTTACTGTACATGTCTTCTCGACTTGACAAATTCTCTGAGAATTTGATGCTGTAGCTACACTTTCATCCCGAATGATCGCGAACCGCGAGTTGGCCTGCGGACGGCGGTCGACCAGGGTGAGCCTCATAGGAATTTGCACCAGAATTGAATTAGAAAGAATAATGCGTATTGCAATCTGGAGTCCGGAAATATTCCGAATAACAGAAACAATCAAGCACTAATTGTCGGGTAAATGAGTTAGCAAGTCATCTGCATATTGAAATCGAGATTCATACCAAATTTCAAGCATTAGAATCCCAATATAGAGACGGTTCCGAATCACAGAGAAATTCAAATCAGAACTGCTAGAGAATTCTCGGGAAGAGGCACTAACATGTTGAAACTCCAAATTAGAAACATATTTCACATATTCGCAGTCTTAAGTGTAAAAGGATACTGGACACTGAGTTGCAGGGGTATCCAAATCAGAATTGGCAGAATTGAGTTGGAGAGGAATACGCATAGTGAGCTCCAAAGTTGCACGCCAAAACTCAGATTCGGAAGCGAATCCGCGTTGCAGGGCAACTCAACAATATAATTGCCACGAAGAATTCAGCTGGAGATGAACTAACACATTGTAATCCACAGCTTGAAATATGTTAGCAAACTGCAACAAAAATATAAACGTTCCCGAAACGTATATCAATCCAACTCACAATTACCTGAATGACATGCTAAGTTGGAGAAGTATTTGCAAATTGTAATCCAGAGCTATACGATTCTAAATACTGCAATCCAGATGCAGGTAAAATATTGATTCATGGGGAAATTCAAAACAGAATTCGGTTGGAGAAGAATTTACGCATTGAAATCTAAAAGGGCGCGCCGCTGGATCACTCAAACGGGGGGGGGTCCAGGACCCCCCCCTCTTCCCCCGATCCGTCGTCGGCGGACCCCCCCCCCAATACCGCTCCATCGTCTGCGGACCCCCCCCCGTCCCCAATTTCCCGATCCGTCGCCGGCGGACCCCCCCCCTTTTCAAGGGGAGTGGGAGGGCCCGGACCCCCCACCCCCTTTGACCCTGAAATTCGGACCCCCCCTTCCTTTCCCCCTTTTTCGCCACGCCGCCCCCTGGCCCCGGAACCAGATCCCGATCCTTACTTCCTATGACGAAACGCCCCCACATCCCCACCTAGCCGGCCGATAGCATACCCGCCGTCTTAACGGTCAAACGAAACACAAACGTAATTGTTGTCTCGCCGACCTGTCGTCGAGTTGCGAAACAATTAACAAGAACAGGACGGAAGGAACGCCGCGTGGGTCACCCCAGGCGAGTGGTCGCGTCGTACCCATCAAAAAACAAAACAAAGTCAACGTTTTCCTCGTCAACGTGGACGTTCTTATCGTCGACGGTGCGAATTGTAGCAGGAATGGGACGCGGCGCGCATCGCGCGCGTACGCCTGGCCAACCCTACGCGGGACCCCCCGTCCTACCTGCAAAAAATAAACG